GATCCCGGGGCGCGGCGAGTTTGTCCGCCTCGCCTTTGAGGCCGCCGGACACCCTTACACCGACGACACCGACATCAAGTCGCTCCCCTCGTTCTCGATGTCGACCGCCGCACCCGTCGGACACCCGCCCCACTTTGCACCCCCCATCCTCGAGGTCATCCAGTCGTCCCAGGGTGGCCACGGTGACGACGTAGGCGACGGCAACGGCGACGACAATCAGACCACCGCCGCCGCCGCCGCTGCCTCGGCCGCCAAGCGCAGAAAGGCAGACGACGGAAGCGCCGCCACGCCCGACGACGGCGCCGCCGCCTCGCACTTTATCAGCCAGACGCCCGCCATCCTCGCCTTTCTCGCCCCCAGGCTCGGCCTGTTGGGCGACCTCGACGGCCTGTCGGACCTCGAGCGCGACATCCGGCGCGCCCAGATCCACCAGCTCACCCTCACCGCCCTCGACGTCAGCAACGAGGCGCACGAGACGCACCACCCGGTCGCAGTCGACCTGTACTACGAGGACCAGAAGCAAGAGGCCAAGCGACGCTCCGACAAGTTCCGCAACCTGCGCGTGCCCAAGTTTCTCAAGTGCTTCCAGCTCACCCTCGACGCCAACCGCAGCCAGGGCCAGGGACAGCCGCGCCTGGTGGGCGACAAGACGACTGTGGCCGACCTCACCCTCTTCCAGGTGCGTTGTCCCCCGAGCCATGGCCACGCGGTGGTGACGGCATGACTGACCGCGTCCTCGCCTTGCCTGATATTTCTGTCTACCCTACCCCGCCACGACCTGCCATTGTCCGCCCCTCGCAGGTGGTTGACGGGCTCAAGTTTGCGTTTCCGCGGCTGATGGCATCGCTCGAGTCGGGGGGCGAGTACGCGCTGGTGTTTGGGCTGCACGCCGCCGTGGCAAAGGAGCTCGAGGGCTACCTGCAGAGCGAGCGCCGACGTCCGTACTCGAGCGGTGTGTTCCGCCACTACCCGGAGCTCGACGGCGAGGTCGAGGCCTGAGCGCGGCGGGGGTTGCTGTGCCACTGATGCTGTGCCCGCTGGCTGGCCGGAAAGACTTGCATCGGGGCTGCCATTGCCGTCGTAGGGCCGACTACTGTACGGGTGCGAGTGTGGGTGGAAGCAGGTGGCGTTGGGAGCAAGGTCGAGATGTGCCAGCCCCCGACTGCGACACCATGTGCCTGTAGGCAGCGACGAGAAGAAGCAAAATGAAAGAGAAGGTCGACCCGTCGTCCCGTCGGCGGTCGGTGACTGGCATTGACCGAGGAGCGTCGTCGAGGGCAGGCAGGACGACCAGACCGGTGCAGCTCGGGCCAGGCCTGGCCCTGGCTTGGACGAGATTGCCGAAGACCGGCCGGCGGCGGGGCGGGGCGGGGGGTGGTGGAGCTGCCAGGCAGGCCTGTCGCACGACGCCGGCGCGCGGGGCCCATGCAGACTTTTCTGACGTGCAGGCTAGGCGCCCTGTGCCGGCGTGGCCCCGGCCTCGAACAAGATTTCCGAGGGCTGGCAGCTCGCCCAGCGACAAGATCGAGGGCCTCTCAGAATCCCGGTCGGTGAGCCCGGCGACCAGCAGCCACCAGCGTGCCTCGCTCGCTCCAGTGTCCCGGCTGGCAAACAGACAGCCAAGCCAAGCCGGTCCTGGCCTGAGCCGCGACACGAGGCAGACAGAGAGCGGGACAGGCAACACTTGGAGATAGCCGAAGGCAACCTGGCATGCGCTAATCAACTCCCGCTAGCCTGCCAGCGAAGACGACGACGACGACGACGACGACGACGACGGCGAGGAAATCTAGCCAGACTCGAGGCATGCGGGCGCCATGTCCGTCGTCTGTCGCTCCCTCGCTCAATGGCAAAGCCTTCGCCACAAAACCCCTATAAGAGCCCGCCCTGCCTCGTTTGCCCTGACCGAGGCCACAGGTCTACCTCTTCTGTCTCTCCTCTTCCCTCCTCGTTACTTCTCTTCCTTCACCCTCTCCGTGCCGTCCGACTCCAGCTCCCTCTCCGACCCGCTTGACCGACTTCCCCTCGCCCCCGCATCCCCTCACCTCACATCGCCATGGCCCCCGTCGCCGACGCCCCGCTAGCCAACATGACGGCGCTCAAGGAGAACCTCGCCCTGCTGGCCACGTCGAAAAAGGAGCTCGAGCTCGTCCGCTCCCAGGCAGAGAAGCCCGGACCGGGCCAGGCCCTGGTCCACGTCCGCGCCACGGGCATCTGCGGCTCCGACGTCCACTTCTGGAAGCACGCCGGCCTGGGTCCCTGGAAGATTGACAGCTGCGTCGGCCTCGGCCACGAGTCCGGCGGCGTCGTCATCGCCGTCGGCGAGGGCGTCGACAACGTCAAGGTCGGTGACAAGGTCGCCATCGAACCCGGCGTCCCCTGCTTCAAGCCCACCTGCAATTTCTGCCTCAAGGGCAAGTACAACCTCTGCCCCACCGTCGACTTTTACTCGGTCCCGCCCCGCGACGGCACCCTCAGGAGGTACCACGTTCACCCTGCCGGCTGGCTCCACAAGGTGCCCGAATCGATGTCGTGAGTAGACCGTTCGGACCCGCAGCCATGCCTCTAGTCACCGCCGTCGCCCGACCGCCGCGCTCGATTGCTGACGTGCGGCTCGTCCCTTACTCCTCTCTCGCCCCCCACTGCAAACAGGTTCGAGGAGATCGCGCTCCTCGAGCCCCTCTCGGTCACGCTCCAGGCCACGCTCCAGGCCGAGATCAAGCTGGGCCAGCCCGTCCTCATCACCGGCGCCGGTCCCATTGGCGTCGTCCAGCTCCTCTGCGCAAAGGCGGCGGGCGCCACCCCGATCGTCATCACCGACGTCGTGGCCGACCGGTTGGCCTTTGCCAAGAAGCTCGTGCCCGAGGTGCACACCTACCAGATCGACACGGCCAAGACGCCGCTCGAGTGCGCCCAGGAGATCATTGCCCTCTTCACCACCGCCTGCGGCTTCGCACCGGGGACGGGCAGCGACGTCATGCCCGCCGTCACCATGGAGTGCACGGGCGTCCAGTCGTCGGTCCACACGGCCGCCTTTGCCACTGAACCCACCGGCCTCGTCTTTGTCATTGGCGTCGGCGCAAACTACCAGGAGATTCCCTTTATGCACCTCTCGACCAACGAAATCACCCTCAAGTTCCTCTTCCGCTACCGCGACACCTGGCCCCGCGCCATCCGCCTCGTCGCCGGCGGCATGATTGACGTCAAGCAGCTCGTCACCCACCGCTTCCCCCTCGAAAAGGCCAGGGACGCCATGTTCCACGCCGCCGACCGCAGCGTGCCGTCGTGCAAGACCATCATCTTCGATGACGCCTAAGGAGAGGGGGGTAGGGCCAAACACCTGCGGCCCTCGACCCTCGGCCCTCGGCCCTCGGTCCTCTGCCTGTCCACTCGCCTTCGCCTGTCCCCTCGCCTTCGCCTCTCCGTATAGACCGGACGCACCCCTCGTCGTCCCGCAGCTCCCACTTCTCCTTCCTTGCTCTTGTCCCCCACTTCTCCCTCGCTCCCTCGCTGCCTCGGAGCGGGGATCGCCATGACTCCTGTTTGGTCCGGTTCGCTTGGTCGGTTGGTAGCTTGGTAGGATCGTCACCGCAAACAACGTTGCTATTCCCCCCCACCCCTTTGGTCCACGTCTCCTCTCGTCGTCGGCCATCGTGCAGAGCGATGGCGATGGCAAGGGGGGAAAGGAGACAGACAGCGCTATAATATCCTTCTCTCGGCCCCTCCCCATCGTCTGTCGCCGTGGCGTGTGTGCATCGGTCTCCCAGCCATCCTTCCTTGCACGGTGGTCGAGGCGGTTCACGGCACGGTGATCGAGGCGGTGGCGACGGAAGGGGGTCCCATCCCTCCTCGCCCGACGACCCGACCCGATGCCGATACAGACGGCCGCTACTAGACCGCCTTGGGACTGCTAGCCTGAAGAATCTCCTGCAGCCAAGCCGGTTCGAGGACCGAGCACGTGCGGCCATAGGTCTGCGTGGTGACCACGACCTCTTCCACCAGCAGCGCCTCCATCTTGCCTCCCGTCCCCGTCCCCGCTCCCGCTCCCGCTCCAGTGCCGCCGGCAAGGCTGCGGCGGGTGGCGTGCAGCGTCGAGCTCGGGTGCAGGCGGAACGGCTGCCCGCCGCCCGTGCGCTTCCACGTCCCCTCGGGCGTGCGCAGCGCGGCATTCGAAAAGCGCCCCTCGAGCATGCACTTGCGCAGCTCGACGTAGTCTTCCTCGTCGTTGCGCACGCCCCCCTCGCCGTCGTTGAGGCCCTTGCGAACGACGTGCAGACCCTCTTTCATCGCCTTGAGCCGCCGCAGCTCCTCGCTCGTCGTCGCATCGTCGTCGTCGTCGTCGTCGTCGGTGTCGATGTCGATGTCGTCGTTCATCGAGGCCGAGTCGTTGCCGCCACCGCCGCGGACGCCGTTGGCCCCGCCACCGTTCGGTTTGCCGTTGAGCTGCGCCTGCTGCCGCTTCTCGTGCATCGCCAGCGTGTCGTCGCACACGATGCCCTGCTGCGCGCAAATCTGCCCGAGCTGCTTGCGGATGTGGAGCACGTTCTTGACGGCGCGCTCGTGCACAAAGTGGTTCTGGCACCACGCCCGGACGTGCTCGCGCATCTCGACCGAGGCAGCCGCCGTCGTCGTCGTCGTCGTCGCACCGCTCGACCTGCCCCCGCGGTTGCCCTTGCCCTCGCCCTCGCCTTCGCCCCCGCCCTCGCCCTCGCCGTCTTCGTCTCCATGGCCGCCCTTGCTCTTGGCGCGGTAAATCTTGCGCGCCGCGTCCTGCTCGGCCAGGTAGGCGTAGAGCACGTTGAGCAGCGTGCCGTGGTCGCCGCTCGGGTGCACAAAGACCATCTTGGCCCGATTGGCCTCGTCGCGCTTCTCCGGATCCGAAGGGTCCAGCAGCACGCTGCGGTCCGCCGAGAGCACGGCAATCATGTCGCGCACCTGGCGTGCCACCTTGGGCCCGCGCTTCGAGGCGGCCACCAGCGCCCTCGCGTAGAAGGGCGCCACGGGCAGCATCGCCATCTTCTGCCCCACGGCGGTGAGGACAAGGCGAGCCTCCACCGCCGCCGCCGCCGCCTTTCCGTCCTTTGCCGTCGTCGCGGCCGCCGGCACGTTCTTGATCTCGATGGCGCCGAGCTGGATCAGCTGGATGACTGCATCGCGCAGGCCATGCGAGTCCGGCTGGTCCATCCAGTCAAAGTGGTAGGGGTCCTGGCCCATGGCGCACAGTTGCAGCACCGCGCCCGCCAGGTCGGTCCGCAAGATCTCGGGCGTCGTCGTCAGCGGCAGCTGCTTGAACGCCTCGTCGGTGTACAGCCGGTAGCACTCGCCGGACCGCTCACGGCCCGCTCGACCGGCCCTCTGCCGCGCCGCCGACTGCGAAATCTCCTGCGTCTGCAGCGACTCGACGCCCGTCGTTGCGGTATAGACCTTCTCCTTGGCCAGGCCGCAGTCGATGACGTAGATGATGCCGGGGATGGTGATCGACGTCTCGGCGATGTTGGTGGCCAGCACCACCTTGCGCGTCCGCGGCGGCGTCGGCGCAAAGACCTTGACCGAGGCCGAGGGCCCCAGGGCGGCGTAGAGGGGTGCGATCATGAGGTCCATGGGCGCCGGCCGCTTCTCGTGCTCGGCCCAGAGCGGCAGGTCGCCGGCGTAGGTCTCGAGCGACTTGGCCAGCGTCTCGATCTCCTCTTGGCCCGTCATGAAGACGAGGATGTCGCCGGGCGGCCGTGAGACGTGGATCTGAAGCACGGTCCGCAGCGCCGAGTCGGTCCACTCCTGGCTCGGCTCTTCGGTGTGAAAGGTGGTGACGGCGTGCTGGCGACCCTTGACGTAAAGGATGGGCACCTCGGACCGCGCGCTCATCTGCCGCTGCGCCTCGGCCGACCTGTGGCGGTGCTCGGACAGGGCGGCCGAGGGAGAGGCGAAGAAGTTCGCAAATGACTTGGCGTCGAGGGTGGCGCTCATGACGACAATCTTGAGCTCGGTGACCTCGGGCTCGTCGGCGAGGCTGCCTCTCTGGATCCAATCGGCCCGCAGCGCCTTTCTCTCGCGCTGGATGCGCTTGGCAAGGCCGAGGACCATGTCGGTCCGCAGCGTACGCTCGTGTGCCTCGTCAATGATGAGGACCGAGTAGCGGGACAGGAGCGTCGAGCTGATGCCCGTGGTGGCAGCGGCGGTGAGGTCGCCTTGGGAGCCGAAGGCAGCATCTTCCGAGCGCCGAGATTGCTGCTGCTGTCGATTAGGGCCGCCCCTGGCCTTGTCGCCGTCCTCGTCTCCGCCGGCCAGCCTGGAGCCCTGGCCGCTGCCGATCATCTCGCGCAGCACCATGCCATCGGTCATGAACTTGATGCGGGTCCGCTTGCTGGTGCGGTCGTCGAAACGGATCGAGTAGCCGACAAGGCCCGGGCCCGAATCCTTCGACTTGCCCTTTGCGCTGGCATCCTGGAGCGCGCGGCTGGCAGGGTCCGGGCAGCCCATCTCGACGGCCACTCTGCGGGCGAGCGAGGTGGCGGCGACACGACGAGGCTGGGTGATGCCGATCATCTGTACGGGCCTGCTCTGGGCGAAGCCGGCCTCGAAGAGAAACTGGGGAATCTGGGTCGTCTTTCCGCTGCCGGTCTCTCCAAGGATGACGACGGTGTCGTTTTGGCGGACGGCGTCGACGATGGCGTCCTTGCCGGCCCAGATCGGCAGGCTCTTGCGCGACTCGACGATGGCGGGATCGACGCTGGCGAGCATCTTAGAGATCCTGTCAGTCGAATCGTGGCGGGACGAAGAGGATGTGCCATTGGTGGCGCTGCTTGGGGGAGCGGGCAGCGAGGAGCGGGAAGACGAGCCGGGCGAGGGTGGCGGCAGGAAGAGGGCGGGCGCGTTTGCGTACTTGCTCTTCTTCTTGCTCTTGAGCTTCTTCGATGGCGAAGAGAGGGGCGATTCGCGGCTCGGAGGCAGGTGCAGGTGCGGGTGCTGTTGCACGACCCTCGAGGCAGATGCGGAGGGTGACGCAGGTGCCGACGACGACGACGACGACGACGAGGGCCTCGGTGTCTCGAGCGCCCTCCACCTCTCGTGTATCGCCTCTCCGATCGACATGGTGACGGCTGTCGAGTCGAACTCGAGCGGTGGTTGATAGCTGGAGCCAGTATGTGCGTAGCAGGGGTCAGAGCAGCGGGTGATGATGGGGCCAGCAGGAGGAGAGGGTCGGTGGTAGTGGTATGGTTGGTGGTGGTGGTTGATGGTGGTTGGCTGCAGTTGGCGTGGACCCCGCCGCCGGAGCCAGCCATGAAGAAAACCCAAAAAAGTTGGACGCTGCTGGCCAGCTGGCCGAGTCCCGAGGGCAAAGCTGCTATGTTCTCGCGGGGCACGGGTGGCTCGGAAGTGCCACAGCGGGCTGCAGCTCCTCGACACCGGTCGGTGTTGGTACGAGGGGACACCTGGGTTAGCAGGCTGCGGTGCAGCCAGCCGGGTGCAGGCAGGCGAGAGGCCTGGCCAGGGAGTTACAGAGACAGTTAGCGCCTCGCAAACCATCAACAACGTGCGCGGCCGTGGCCCGACGCGGGGTTGGGACGAGGCATCGGAACTCCAGCGCACCCTCGTCGTCGCCGATAGCCGGCGGTCGTCTCCGATGCGGCCAAGCACCGCAAGCAAGGCGGTGCTCGAACGCCTCGGCGTCCCCTCTCGTGGATCTGTTACCGGCAGCACGGGGCCAGGCGATGCGACGTCATGGGCGAGAGCAGCAGCCGTCAACTCCCCTGATCTGCAGGCTTCGACGTCGATCCTCGAGAAGAAGAGCTCCACGCGCCCTGGCGACGAGCGCTTCCAACACACACGGCCGTCGAGACGGCCGGCGGCCGGCAGGGCCAGCAGGTCTTGGCAAGGCATCGGATGGCAGCGGGCCAACAGAAGGCAGAAGACAGGCGTCGTTTGTGCATCCCTCAGAGGAGAGGCAGGCAGGCCAGAGGTGAGCGAGCGAGGGGCAGGCCCATCCTCCGCCTCCTGCCTAGACCCACTCTATCTACTCTGATGGCTCGCTGGGATGCGTTGTGGCGGTGCCAAATGTGCAGCGCGCTGCTGCGCACCCACGCGCCCGCGCGGCCGCTCCCCGTATCCTCCTTCGGGACAGCCGAAGCCGTACCTATCGGGTCGATGCGATGAGGGGGCAGGCACTTAGGTGGCGGGCCCGCTTCGCTCTTCGCCATCGCCGCCGTCGTCGTCGTCGGAACCACTGCGCCAGGCCATCGGACCGCAAGCCGACGCACGCTCATGCTGCCTCGCCTAGGGGACATGACACCGGCAGCCCTCGACGGATACAGGGCGAGGCTGAGGCAGACGGCCCCGCACGGCACGTAGCTCGTCGCCCCCGCTCTCGCCCTCTTCGCGATCCGTTCTGGCTTGCGGATGGTGGCGTCGTCCAGGCCAGAAGGCGACCAGACCGAGCTAGGGTAGGCTACGGTGGCTGAGCCTGCAGCTCAGGCGAGTGAGCACGTACGCGTACGACAGCAGAACAAAAAGAAGGCTCACCTCCCGGAGGCCAAAGCGAACGAGCCAGCCAGCCAGCCAAGCCAGCCAACAGCCTCTAGTTAGAGTGGTGTCCCTGCTGGCCTGCCCGCCTGCCCGGCCAGCCATATAGCTGTCGGCTTCGCACCGGGCGCACGTCACCCGTCTCCTACACTCCTCCTCCTCGCCACTTGCCCTCGGCGCCTTGTCCTTTTCCTTCTCCTCCTTGAACTGACCCTCCCGCTTCTTTCATCGGACACCAAGACCCCGCCGCCACGCTTCCGTCCCGCAAGTCTCGTCCGCCCCTTCCACAATCCCACCGCTCCCCGATTGCCCTGCCTCATTGCCCCGGTGTTGAGCCTCAAAGTTGGTTGCTGCACTCGGACCCACACGGCACAGACCCACCGCAGCCCTCGTGTCATCCTTGCTCCACCGCCGGCTGCTCCATCGGCCTCTTCTCTCCTCGGGCCTCGGCCGGTCTACCCCAACCCTCATCGGCTCGTGACTTCCGGCTGATTGCGATCAGACCGCTCGACACTGCAACGGGCTGTCCCTCGTCCGATCAGCTCTTCGACCTGTTCCGACAGACGAGTCGACCAACACCACCAACACCCACAGCAGCGGCAGCAGCGGCAGCAGCGGCATACCTCCCTCTGCTACTTGAATTACTCCAACGCCTGTTGTGGATCCCGTCGAGCGATCCTCTCCACCGCCTAGCACCTACTCGCCTGCCTCTTCTGCCAGCCCACTCAGCGACCCGCCAAGATGGCCAACTATGCGCTCTCGGCGCCCTCGAGGACGCCCTACACCGTCCTCAACCAGACCTTTCTGATCGACAACGCCTACGAAATCACAAAGGAGCTCGGCCAGGGCGCATACGGCTGCGTCGCTGCCGCCACACATCGCGGCACCGGCGAGAGCGTCGCCATCAAGAAGATCACAAACGTCTTTACGAAACGCATCCTCACAAAGCGGGCGCTGCGCGAGATCAAGTGAGTTGCCGTGCTGGCCGCCGCACTGCCGCCGCCTGCCTGCCGCTGGCGAGGAGGGCCCTTCGCTGACGATGGATCCGTCCCGCTCCCGCTCTCTGCGAATCCACGGTCCGTCAGGCTCCTGCGCCACTTCCGCGGCCACAAGAACATCACCTGCCTCTACGACATGGATATCATCGACCCGACGAGCTTCAACGAAGTCTATCTGTACGAGGAGCTGATGGAGGCCGACCTGCACGCCATTGTGAGTCTCGCTCGTCAGGCGGCTGGATGCTCCACGTAGCTCGTCCCAGCCTCCCGGCCAGCCCGCCGCACTTGCCGCTGATCCGTTCTGGCTCCTCTCATTTCCCCCCCTTGCTCATCGCCTGCCCGTCCACCCGCAGATCCGGTCCGGACAGCCGCTCTCGGACGCCCACTTCCAGTCGTTCATCTACCAGACCCTCTGCGGGCTGCGCTACATCCACAGCGCCTCGGTGCTCCACCGCGACCTCAAGCCGGGCAACCTGCTGGTCAATGCCGACTGCGAGCTCAAGATCTGCGACTTTGGCCTGGCGCGCGGCTTCGAGACGGACCCGGAGCTGGCCAAGCAGGGCGCCGGCGGCTTCATGACCGAGTACGTCGCCACGCGCTGGTACCGAGCGCCGGAGATCATGCTCAGCTTCCAGAACTACACGACGGCCATCGACATCTGGTCGGTCGGGTGCATCCTGGCCGAGCTGCTCGGGGGCCGGCCCATCTTCAAGGGGAGAGACTACGTCGACCAGCTCAACCAGATCCTCCACTACCTCGGCACGCCCTCCGAGGAGACGCTGCGGCGGGTCGGGTCGCCGCGCGCGCAGGACTACATCCGCTCGCTGCCCTACCAGCCGCGGGTGCCCTTTGCGCGCCTCTACCCCAACGCCAACCCGCTGGCGCTCGACCTGCTGGAAAAGATGCTCGAGTTCGACCCGGCCAAGCGCATCAGCTGCGAGGACGCGCTGCAGCACCCCTACCTGGCCGTGTGGCACGACCCGGCCGACGAGCCGACGTGCCCGGTCAAGTTTGACTTTGGCTTCGAGACGGTCGACGACGTCGAGGGCATGAAGCGCCTCATCCTCGACGAGGTCAAGAGCTTCCGCCTCGAGGTGCGCCGCCAGGCACGCCAGGTGCAGCAGGCGCGGAGGCAGGACAGCCTGCCGATCCCGACGCGCGAAGAGATCCAGCGGTCGTCGCCCACCGAGGAGCACGGGCAGGGCCTGCTGGGCGCCAGCGGCGGGCTGGTCCAGGGCGGTACGACGACCGAGCAGGCCAGCGGCATGCTGAGCGACGCGCAGATCATGGAGGATCCCGCCGGTGAGTCTCGACAGCAGAAGCAGGAGCCGGCGAGGGATGGTCTCGACTCGAGCGCGGAAGCTGACCGTGCCGCGTGCGCCACGTCCGCCACCTTTTCGCTCCTGCCTTCCTACAGAGAGCTTCGAGAGAGAGCTTCAGGGTCAACGAGCGGCGTGAGGAAGCGTGACCCCCTCTCGGACAGCCGCCGAGCGCAGGAACGCCCATCGACGGGCAGCATTGTGATGTTGACAAGGAAGCATTTGGGCCATAGAGAACGACGTCGGCGGCAATGCACAGCAGTAAAAAGAGCGAGATACGGCTGCTGCTCTGCGCGACGCCTGGCCCACTTCCGCTCTTCCGGCCCTCACTCGACGGCGCTGCCGCCCTGGATGAAGGACTGCATCTGCCAACCGTCGTGGGGCCGCTTTACGACGCCGGCCTTTTCGAGGACGTCGAGGGTGCTGCTGACGACCTGCTGGCTGACGGTCTGGGGCGTCGTGTTCTGGCCCTCTGTGATGGACGACGAGGGCGGGTTGGGCGTCTCTTCGCCGGCCCAGCGCACGCCGTCGAGCCAGGTGGCGACGTCGCCGGGCTTGTAGTCGTGGTGCTGTACGATCCAGTCCTTTGCCTGACCGCTCTGGCGCGTGTGCGGGTTGGCAAACTTGCGGATCTCGTCGGTGAGACGCCGCTGGAACTCGTCGAGGAGCTTGGACGAGGGGTGCGACGGGTCGAGGGCCGTGTTGAGCGAGGCGGCAATGGTCCACGAGGGCCAGGGCGTGGGTACGTTGCCAATGAAGCGGACCTCGCCCGAGTCGACGTAGGGCTTGGTCGTGTACCACTCCCACATAAAGGCGGCAGAGGTGTAGGGCGGTTTCTGGTTGACGCCGGCGCGGAGGTTGGCAAAGGTGTCGTTTACGAGAAACTCGATGTCGCGCACCTGGCCCTCGTCGTCGGTCCAGTTGTGCTGGAGCGCCATGACGGACGCCATGATCTGGGAGCCGCTGCCGATGCGGCTGATGCCGATCTTTTGGCCGGCCAGATCCGAGATGGACTGGTACGCCGAGGCTGCCGGATCTGTGCCGGTGATGACGGCCCTGGGAGAGTGGCGGTGCAAGAGAGGCGAAGGATGAGGAGCAGGAGCCGAAGCGCGAGCGGGAAACAAGCAACGGGGGAAGAGTCAACGTGGAGTCGCTCGACGCTGAACGGACCAGCGCGGTAGCAGCTCGTCTTGTGAAGCGATCGAGAGTGCTCACCAGTTGAGGCTGGTCCGGACATAGCTGCCGACGAGGCGGTAGTCTTGCCTGCCCTTTGCGATGCCGGCGATGAGGGCCTCTGTGAGGGCGACGGCGACGTCAATCTTCTGGCCGCCCTGCTGCGCGGCGTCGAGGCTGGTGAGCATCTGGCCCGTGCCGCTGGGCTGCAGCACGAGCTCGATGTTTTCCTTGCCCTGTCAGGTGCGCATCGAGGGATGGACGGGAGAGGAGAGTTAGCTGTTGGGTCGAGGGTGGACGAGGGTCGAGTGGAGCGCTGCGTTGCGCACCCATGGTGTGGCGCCGAGGTGGAGAAGGGGCGCGGCAAAGTGCTCGGGGACGTAGCCGACTCGAAGCATGGCTGAAAGCTGAGCGGGGCGTGGTGGCGGTGAGGGTGGTGAGGAAAGAGGGAAGAGGAGGTGGAAGAGGCAGCCGAAGCAAGGCAGTGGGACCATGACGAGCGCCGTTCGTGACAAAGTTCGGGTGTCGGAGGCAGGCGGCCATCGTGGTCGGACCATCACCGAGGCCAGGCAGAGGAGGGCCACAGGGGCCACGCCTGGGTCGACCAACTCAGAGCGCCCAGCTCAGACGCCGACCGGCACCTCTCTCTCTCCCTGACTCTTTGGCCCCCTCGCAATCACCACCACTACCTCCTCCTCCACCGGCTCCACCGACATCGACTTTGCATTATCCACAACCTCACCACTTACCCACGCAGCCCCTGCCTCTTACCATGCCCTCCGATCGCCTCTCGGCCGCCGCGCGCCTCCTGGTCCAGGCACCACCGGGCCAGGTCTCGCAGGTCTACCACGACCTGCGCGGAATCCTCCTCGACCCAGAGGCGGGCGCCGACGACGGCCAGACAATCGACGACGCGCAGATCAAGCACATGGCCCTCGTCGCCCTCGAGGAGTACAACACCTCGCAGCTCATCCCCGTCGCCATCGACGAGGCCGCAAAGGACCACGTCATCATCTGCCAGGCCGCCCAGATCCCCTCTTCCACCGACACCGCCACCAAGCGATACGCACACCCGAGGGCCAAGAAGAGCTTTGCGTTTGACCACATGGCTCGGGTGCGTCGGGTTTGTCAGACCAGGGCGGTCAAGTAGCACGCAGAAGCTCAAACACGTCGACCCTGCCCCCCGTATCCTCCTCCTTCTTCCCACCACCACTTCCCTCCTCACACAGACTGCGAGCGACATCCAGGATCTGCCCGTCGACGAAGACGCCGAGCCGCTGCGGTGAGCCAATGCCTGTCTCGGCTCTGCTGCAGCAGTCACCCCCTAGCGGCAAGCTGATCAGTGTCCCACCAATCTCGTGCCCCCAACACCCCTCCAGCGCGGCCCTCGACGCCGCCCTGCAGAACTACGTGGCGGACCGGTACAACTCGGGCGTCAGCTCCGTCTTTGCCGTCAGCAACGTACCCTACAAGCCCGCCGCCCCTACCGCCGCCGCTAGCAGCGACGCGCAGCAGCAGCAGCACGAGGAGGCCGCCAAGGTCGACGCCGAAGACCCCGCCGTGCCGACCGCAGCAGCTGCGGCGAACGAAGACGCAGAGACCGAGGGTGCAGAGAAGAAGGGCGACGGCAGCCCAAACCAGGAGGGAGATGCTACCGCGGCCGACGATGACGGCGACAATGTCAAGGACGACCCCGTCGAGGCCGCCGCGGCTTCCGAGGCCGTCTCGTCCGACTCCACGTCGCCCACAGCCGCTGCCGCCGAGGAGGCACGAGATGCGAGCGAGCAACAGCAGCCGCAGGAGCAGGAGCCGGAGACGACGCCGCGCCAGATCAAGTACACGTTCCACCACGTGGGCAACAAGTACCACCTATCCAACTTCTGGTCGGGGCGCTGGCGGGCGTCGTACACGCTCGACGTCGAGGCGGCGACGCTGACGTCGAGCCTGCAGGTGCAGGTGCACTACTTTGAAAACGGCAACGTGCAGCTCAACGCGTCCAAGCCCAAGACGTTTCACCTCGACCAGTCCTCGCTTGCGGGTGAGGGCTCGGAATCGGAGCATGTCAAGAGGGTGGCCGAGCACGTCGTCAAGCTCGTCGAGAGGCACGAGGACGACTACCAGTCCCTGCTCGAGGAGACGTACGAGGATCTCGGCGAAAAGGCCTTCAAGGCGCTCCGGAGGCAGCTGCCCCTCACCAAAAACAAGATCGACTGGAACCAGCTCATGAACTACCGCCTCGGCGCCGAACTCGCCAGGCAGTAGACCCGCCTCCCTGCGCCGTTTCATCGCTCGGGCGATGGCCGATGCGGCGAGCCCCTCGCCAGCCGAGAGGGCGGCTTTCTGAGTCGAAGCGGACGTAGATGTGGACGTGGGAATGAATGTCGTCGATGGATGGATGGTACCGGCACATAATCTTACAACAGGAACGAGAATGCGAGTCTAGAGTGGGCGGTGCGAGGGAGGAAGACGTAGGAAGGAGGGAGCGAGGAACTTAGCCCCCGGTCTCTAGGCCCACTGCTGCTTGCGGAGGCCCTTGACCCATGCGTCGTTGCGGATGAGTTCGGCGGCGCGCTCGGCGACCATGAGGATGGTGAGCATGGGGTTGATGGTGGGCAGCGTGGGGAGGACGCTGGCGTCGCAGACGCGGAGGCCCTTGAGGCCGACGACGGACAGGTCGCGCTGGTCGACGACGACGCTGTCGTCGGAGCCGCTGCCGCCAAAGCGGGGCGAGGGGGTGCCCATGCGGCACGTTCCGGCCGGGTGGTAGACGGTGTGTGCGACCTTGCGGGCGTACTCTCCGATTTCCTCGTCGGTCTGCACCTTTGGTCCGGGGGCGACTTCCTCGACGAGGTGCTGCTTAAAGGGCGCCTGCTGTGCGATCCTGCGGGCCCACTTGATGCCCTCGATGAGGATGCGCTCGTCGTAGTTGTTGGCGTCCTCAAAGTACTTGAAGTCGAGCAGCGGCTTGTCGCGCGGGTCGGCCGAGGCCAGCGACACCTTGCCGCGCGCCTGGGAGCGGCAGATGTTGGGCGTCATGCAGATGGCGTGCGGCGGGCGGCGGTAGCCCTCGCGCTCCGTGTTGTCGGCAAAGGGCACCTGGTAGATGTGGAACATGAGGTCCGGGCCCGGGTGCGGGAACGGCTCGGCGTTGGGCGGCAGCACGCGCAGGAAGAGGCCCGCGTCCGACGACATGACCGTCTCCGGGGGCGTGTCGCGCGTCTCCCACATGATGATGCTCTCCGGGTGGTCGGTCAGGTTGAGGCCCACGCCGGGCACGTCGAGCTTGCACGGCAGCCCGAGCCGCTCCAGGTCGCCGCGCGGGCCGATGCCCGAGTGGAGCAGCAGGCGCGGCGTGTCGATGGCGCCGGCGCACAGGATGACTTCGCGGCGCGCCGTCAGCGTGCGCTTGAGGCCGTGCTTGGTGACAACGTCGACGCCGCGGATGCGGCTGGCGTCGGCCTTGTCAAAGTCGAGGCCCGTGGCCCACGTCTCGAGGAAGAGGTGCAGGTTGTGGCGGCGGTTGGGGCCGTGGGGCATGATGGGGTGGAGGTAGGCGACCGAGGCGCTGGAGCGCTTGCCGTCGTAGGGGTCGTAGGCGATGTCAAAGAAGCCGACGGCCTTCTGGAAGCCGCCGCGGTGCACAATCTGGGCGTTGAGGTCCTCGATGACGGGGGCGCCCGTGGCGGCCGAGCAGGCGTCGACCCAGTCGCGCGCCACCTGGTTGCGGTTCTGGGGCGCGACGGGGACAATGTTCATCTTGAGGCGGTCGCCGTAGGGCTGGACCGTGGCGGCCTTCCAGTCCGGGCAGCCGTAGTTGTCGGCCCAGTCGTCGAGGTCGGCGTTAAAGGGGCGGAACGAGATGAGGGTGTTGTGCGACGAGCAGCCGCCGAGGACCTTTGCGCGCGAGTGGCGGATGTGCGAGTTGCCGCGCGGCTGCTCGACGGTGGGGTAGTCGTAGTCGAGCTCCGAGCCGAGCATCTCGAGCCAGCGCTTGAGGTCGAGGACGACGTCGCGCCCCACGTCCGACGGGCCGCCCTCGATGACGGCCACGCTCACGTCGCGGTCCTCGGTGAGGCGGTTGGCGAGCACGGCGCCGGCCGTGCCGCCGCCCACGATGACATAGTCAAACTCGGTGTTGCCCGAAGGAAGCAGGTGCGAGGCGAGCGACGCAAGACGCTCGCGGGCCGTGGGCGCCGACGACGACGATGACGACGACGAAGCCGAGGGAGCCGGGTCAGTGGTCGTCTGGCCCTGGACCGGGTCCGTGTCCGGGCGAGCGGGGTTGGGCTTGGGAGTCATGATGGGGCGACAGCGGCAGCGGGGTGAGGGAGGAGGGAGGAAGGAGGAGGGAAGTCGGGATGGCTAGGATGGAGGGGATCGTGGGGGAGGGGAAGCAGAGACGGATGAGGAGGAGGCTGTGATGCTTATATCTGTCTGTGCCATGGCGAGGCCAGCCTGGTGAGCGCCTGCTGGGGGATCAAAGTTCGACGAGGCAGAAGATGGCCCGCTGCTAGCCTCCTCTTGGTGTCGTCGGCGGCGGAGGCGGATCGACGGGCGGGGGGCGGCGGCGAGAGGCAGGTAGGTACGGGCTGCGAGATGGCTGGCCGGAGTAGCGTCGAAGCGTACTGTACCGAGCGGTGCCGTACCGGAGCCATGCGTGCATCCAGAGATGAGCCGGGGTGGATCGCCCTTGATTCCAAGGTTGGCCCCTACGCACCGAACCGAAAGGCCCGACCGGTGGGCGGCCACCAGACAGGCCAGCGGGCGCAGCGAGGGCCAAGAAGGCTGCGCCGTCCCCAGATGGCGTGCAAGCAGGGTAAGGGCCGCCAGAGAGGCAAGCAGGGCAGCAGGGGGGCGTCCTAAATTTTTTTCAGAAGCCAGCCAGGCAGGCCAGGGTCAAGCATATGCATGCTGGCCTACCCGCGGGTCAACCTAGCCCGCCTGTCGACACCAGCCAGGCAGGGCCAAGCAAGCGCGCCCGACACCCGGTCCCGGTGCCGCGCGGGCCTCAGCCGTGGGACAGGCCTAGGGCCAAGCAAGCAGGCAGGGTCTCGTTCTGGTCACCGGACAAGCACGCGGTGCGTTGACAGCCAGGCTAGGCCCCCCCAACGTACGGCTGCCATAAGCGGCGAGATGACGAACGGCCAGCGCAGGATTTGGCACGCCGCCGAGGCTGACCCTGCCTGCCTGCTTCTCTCCACCTGCCTGCATGCCGGTACCGGTCCTCCGTCTCGATCTCGTCTGGCGCCCGCGGGTGGGCACAGTTGGGCCACGGCTTCAGGCAAAGGAAATCGCCGCACACACGAGTTGAACCGCGGCACGCTCCCCATCTTGCTTGCCTCCTCGTCTCGTACGGCTGGACCAGACGATATGATAAGATAAGATCGTCTCGGCGGCACCGCCATCCATTTGGTCACCGTCTTCGGTCCACTTCCCGGCACTCGCCGACGTCAATCGCTGAGCGGTGGTCGACTGGTCGGCGTGATCCGCTTGCTTCCGCCGTATCCCCCCGCTCCCACCCCTGCCTCTCCCAGTCCGCCTCCAACATTCAGGGCCGGCACGTCGCTGGCGTGCCCCTGCTGCGCCAGCAGCGTCGGGCTGCGCATGCTGTCCACCGTCGCCTTGACGCTGCTGATCGTGAAGCCCAGGTGCGTCTTGGGGCCCTCGCCGTCTTCGACCGGATCGAAGGACTGTACCGTCACGCCCGGTACCTGGATGAGTTCGTCGTCGTCGTCGCCTTCCTTGCCGTCGCCAGAACTCGAATTCGGTTGCAGCTGGTGCGCCAGGCCTGCCGTGTTGCTTTTGCTGCTGCTGCTGCTGCCGCCGCCGCCGCCGCCGCCGCCTCGCAGCCAGGCCGGTTGGTACGAGCGAAGGGCGGGCGCCATCGACGGTGCGAGAATGACCTCGGGAGCGGGCACGGCGCGCAAGGGCTTCAAACCCCCCGAACCGCCGCCGTCTTGAGCTTCAGCTCGAACGTCGTCTTGGCTCGCGCTACCCCAGTCAGTGGGCTGGTGGCTCTCGATGTGGCGCTGCGTGTCGCGCAGCTCGCCCAGCGCGCGCATCAGGTCGTCGGCCAGGGTATCGCGGTTCGGCGGGTCCTCGCGGATCGGCTCCCAGCCCACCGGCGGGCTCCCCGGCGGACTAATGAGGAAGTTTTTGTCCGTCGTCGGCACGCTCAGCGTCGACGCCTCGGCCTCGTCCGAGGATACCGCGGGCCCGTACACGGCGCGCAGTATCGAGCTGAGGCAACACAGCGGAGGCGGACAAAGGGGGACGATGCCGAGGAAACGAACGGCAGGTGGTCAGTAGTCGCTCGTGTCGCTCGCTTGACCGTGTTGCCTGTGCGCTGCAGCACTCACTCGTCGGCCTGCGCCCGCGCATCCTCGTCAACCCTCAGCGGCCCATCCGGCCCTTCGGACACCGCCCCGTCATCCTGACCAGTCTCCTCGAACGGCAAGAGCAGGCGGTCCAGCCCGCCCTTTGCCAGCCTGGCGCCCTCGACTTCCTCAAACACGACCACCGCCCGGCCCACGGTCGGCATCGGGATCCAGCGCACCAGCGTCCCGTAGGCGTTGAGCAGCGAGAGGAGCGCCGAGCAGATCGACGGAACGAAAAACTCGACGGGCAGGTTGCGCAGGATCAGCGTGTTGGTCGGCTCCCCCTCGGCATCTTCGAGGCCGCCGCTCGTCGTCATCGTCGAGGCCAGCGCCGAGACCGCGTCGACAAGATCGCGCCGGGTCGCCCCGTCACGCTCGTCGTCGTCGTCGTCGTCGTCGTAGTCCTCTCCGTCCTCGGAATCCGGCCAGACCATGACTGAATCGAGGTGCGCGAGCTTCTTCTGTTGTTGGCCGAGTGACGAGGTGCAGAGGTGGGCAGGCAGGGACGGGTCGGGAAGGAAGCACATGGCATTGCGGAGTCGAGGTCGAGGTCAGCAAGCGTGCTACAGTGCCTTGGTTGTAGAGTGTCACAGCCGCCCACGCGTATCCGCTTGGTGTGCCGCCCCTCATGCATGCGGCTTGCCTCCACCGATGGCCCGTCCCGCACCACAGTCCAGGCTGCTCACATTCGTCTAGCCCTCCGCATCCTCTATTCCCTCGAACAGGCGAGGCCTCGGGCTCAATAGGGCCTGAACCGCGAGTCCGGAGTCTGGAAGTCGTTTCTCACCCTGCCTGCTTCGCTCAGCTCCGCTGTGCCGGCGCCGTCGCCGTTGGTGGGCTGCGCGTCAGCCACGATGGCGTCGTCGTCCTCGTCGGCGTCGTCAAAGGCGCCGTCGACGGCCATGGCGTCTGGGTCGCCGGTGCCAAAGGGGGCGAAGCCGGAAAAGGGGTGCGAGCCGCCGTCGCCGCCGCCGCCGGCAGAGGGGTGCAGCGATGCGCAGTGCGAAAGCGCCTCGAAGAGCTGGTCGACTGTGTGGCGCAGACGGATGGGGGAACAGGGAGGCGGTGCGATCAGCCTCGTGGTCGGCGGAGGTCGGGCAGAGCGTGAACAACCGAGACTGGGATACCCACGGCTCTCGTCGTCCGGTGTAAAGACGTGCATCTCGAGCAGGGAACCCTCGTCATCCTGGTCCGCTTGCTCGTCTTCGGCGGCGAGGTCGAGCTGGACGTAGAGGCACCCGCCGGATCTCGGATCTTGCCCGTTCTGCTGAGACGCCGAGGCTGAAGGCGGGCACGGAGCAGCGAGGCCGGCGGGAGGCGAGCGTGTGACGGCATGCAGCGAGATGGTGGGGTAGGTGACCGAGAAGCCGCTGCTTGACCCCGGTGCAAGGAAGGAGAGCTCGCTGCGGCGGTGCAGAGCAGGACAGTCCGGTATGGCACGGCAGGAACGGGAGAGGGTTGGCGGTCAGGTTTTGTAAGAGCGATCATCGAACTGAGCTCCACAGGGCCAGAGGGCATACTCACGACTCGGTCAGCCACAGCTTGCCATCGGCGACGACGGTCTGAGCGGCGTCGTGGTCCAGATCCTCGTCCTCCCCGTCCGGGTTCGCATGTTGCCCGGCGGCAGACGTCGACTCGTACTTGGAAAAGCAGGTGGGCAGGCTGTCGGGCGGCGGGCAGAGGTAGATGCGGACCTGTTCGAGCTCGAGGCGGAGGAGGGGCGGGAGTGCGGCAAAGGAGCCGGGTGTCGACTGCTGTGCGACGTCGGCGTCTTGGCGCGAGAGGAAGCGGGGCGCCTCGGCGATGGCCTTGAACCCGGCCATGTCTATCGAGCGGGGGGTGGGGATAGGAGAGAGAGGAGGTGTCGCAGAGGGTCCAAGATGGCCGATGGTGGTGCGTAGGAGGCAGGGCGGGTTGGCAAGTCGAGGTGAGAGGAGAGAAAGGGTCCCCTTTCGCTTTCTTCCTCCCACCGCAGCCCAGGGCAAGGTAGGCCTGGCCGCGCCCACGCACACGCACACGCACAGACCCGACCCAGGCAGACAGGCTCGCCACACCTCGCCTTGCCTTGGCCTGCCTTGCCCTGCCTTGCCCTGCTTTGGCCTGCCTTGCCTCGCCTCGCCGTTTCCCGGTCGCTTTCGGGCCATCTTCTCAAGACGACGATGCCGTTTGAGACGCCATCGGTTCACGCAAAGAGGCGGCGCGTGTAGGACGACATACGATGTCGCAGCAGGTGCGCCAGGAGGAGGGGTTGCACGCGCGTTTCGGCCGGAAGCCACGATGGCAAGAGCGTTGGGCCCAGCTTGGCTCTTCGCCCATCCTTTTTTCCTCTCGCCGCCTTTCTTTGCCCTCGTGGGGATGTGGAGAAGAGAAGAGAGGTCGAGCCAAAAGGGTCTGGTGGCGAGCCAAAGGCAGGCTAGGGCAGGCGGGAGGGACTCGGGAGCACTCGATGGCGCAGCGCTGATTCACACCGTGGCCCGACAGCCACGCCGCCAGCCAACGCCGCCACGGCCTCGCTCCTGCTCTGCGCAACTCGTCTCCTCTTCACCATCACCACCACGCCATCGCCATCGCCATCCTCATTGCCATCGCCGACGGCAGACGGCCAAGACGAAGCCACACCTCTCACCGTGACCATGGCCGCCACGCGCACACTCGCACGCTCGATGCCGCCACAGCGGGCAGCATCAGCCACATTCCACGCCATCGCCGGTCCATCACGATCTCTGTGCCTCTCCACTTCTGCATCGCCACGACGGTCCCTTCACACCACCCGCACCACGCACACGCCAAGACGGGGCGATCCCTCGGCGCTCTACAGCCGGTATTACGACAAGATCCTCAAATCCGACGGTAAATCCAAACCCACCTCGTCGTCGACGAACGACGATGAGGGCACGCGACGGCGGGCGGAAAAGACGAATACGATGCTCAAACGCGACCAGGAGCTCCTCCAGAAGCTCCTCGACCGCGAAGGCGGATCGGCGGGCATCGCCACCGTCGATGGGACCTATGAAGAGGGGCTGGGAAAGGAGACCAAGAAGAACATGTTTCGACTCATTTGAGAGCGGGGTTCGATCGCGGCGGTCAGTGGTGGTGGTGGTGGTGCTGGCGATGGTGGCGGCGAGGGGGAGTGATGAGGATGAGGATGCCGCCATCTTGGATCGATTCGAGAGGCGGCGTTGCGTGGCCACAGGAGCGATATAGAGGCTCCTCTCTGTGGCTTGTTCAACTTCCGCCCACACAGGCAGAGGGAGCGTCGCAGAGCTCGGCGGCATCCCTCATCCTCGCCCGCGCTTCGGAACGACATCAGGCCGAGGTCCAGGCCACGCCCGGTCATTCCCCCACCGCAGGTGCTGGCACCGCCGCCGCCGCTGCCTATGGAATCCATACGGTGCTTCATTCTGCTTCTCTTTGGATGCGCGGAGATACAATTACAAGGCTCGACAGAGTGTGTGCAGGTGTGGTGCAGCGAGGCTAGTCGGGGCCGGGGACGGACGGGGTCCGAAGCGAAGACACGCTCGAGTCGCCTCGCAGTCGACAGTCGGTTGGGCCAAGGGCGAAGAGGGTGCGAGTGCGAGTGCGTGTGGGAACCGGAGATCGAGGCGAAACCACAATCCAGGTCGGGAGGACGAGACGAGGGGTTCGTGGTTACGCCTTGGCGTCCTTCTTTGCCACCTCAAAGGCGTCGCCGAGGTCATATCGCTTCGTGATACTGTGGGTGCGCGGGAGGGCGGTGGAGGCAAACGAGTGTCAGAGGGACAAGTACAAAGGGAGATGAACGTGGGCCCCTCCTGGACGGACTCACTTTTGGGCGTACGGGTTCTCGTCGCCGGCAAACACCTTGAGCCTCTCGAGACGCCGATCGCGGAGCTTGTTCTTGGGCAGCATGCCCGAGACGGCCTTGATGATGATCTGCAGCGTGGCGGCGACAGCGCGAGAGAGGGAGAGGGAGAGCGCAAAACAAAGTTCAGCAACGACAAGCCACCGGGTCCATTCCCCAGCTGTACCCAGACCGAGGGCGCTGGGTAGCAAGGCACGGGCACGTTCTCACCTCTTCGGGCTTCTTCTCCATCATAGTCTTGTACTTGATCTCCTTGAGTCCGCCGGGGTACATGGTGTGGTGTCGGTAGACGATCTGGTCGGCCTTGCGGCCGGTGACGACGACCTGCTTGGCGTCGGTGACGACGACGTAGTCGCCAAAGTCCATGCTCTGGTCGTAGATGGGCTTGTCCTTGCCCATGAGCTTGCGCGCAATGTTGATGGCAAGCGAGCCGAGCGTCTGGTCCTTGGCCGAAACGTGGTGCCATGTCCGCGCGAACGCTAGCGATGTCTGTCGCATCGTTGCCAGGGAGGTGTCGAGTCCGCAGCGGGGGGAAAAGGGGGGAGAGGGAAGGTACGAGGTGAGAAGAGGCCGCGTAGCTGCCAGGCAAAGGCGGGGCTGCCATGGCGGCTGCATGGCCGGGCGTAACTCACGTTTCCGACGAATTGCGACATCTTGGGCCTCGGATCCGTGCCTCTCTGTGCTGTACTCGAGAGAGAGAGAGAAAGTGTGTGTGTGGGCCGGTAGGTGTGAGAGTGCCAATGGGAACAGCGACGGGGGGTCCGAGGTGATGGCGAAGAAGGTGAAGGTGCAGCAGCGCGGGCGGGTAAAAAGGCCCCGGGTCGAGGATATTCCTGGCCGCGGGCAGATTCGGACCCGACCGCGCGCGAACACCCTGGGACAATTTTCGCACGAGTGTGAAAGCACTCCCCCGCCGCCTCGCGTGGCGCAGCGACGGGACGAAGACGAGGACGAGGATGATCACGATTAGAGGGAGGGTAAACGAGCGCAGAGCAAGGAACAGAGCAGTCGGCGACGGGGACGGTACCATGGCGCCCTGCCTATGGAGCAGCAAGCAGGGGCAGGAGCAGAGTCTAAAAGTACAGGGGGGAGGGTACAACAGGGGATGCAGCGGCTGTCTGGCGTGGAGGGGGCTGCGAGTCCTCGTCGGTGTGTATACTAAGGGTCCGCGGGAGGAAAGGCGGTGGTGTTGGTGTCCGCTGTGTGACAACGCCTCGGCCCGTCTAGGCCTTGTTGGAGCAGACGGCGAGGATGAGGTTGAAGGCCTCGTCCCTGTTCTGGATATTGGCAAACAGGATGGGGGGCTTGCCGTTGGTGCGGGCCACCTTCATGCCGAGGCTGCTCCAGAGCCAGAGGCGGATGTTCTTGGTCTTTGTCAGGCCGCCGACGGCCGAGAGGGGCGTGTGGGCGCGCTTCTGGGTGCCGTTGTGGAGCGGCGTGAAGTAGAGGTAGCGGGTGTTGATGTGCAGCCGCCCAGGAAGGCCCTTGTACTGGCAGAAGAAGCTGCCGAGCTTGCGCGGCTTGAGCGCCGTCGTCGACGTCGTCTCGACGTAGTCGTTTTCGCCGCGCGCGGCGGCGGGGATCTGATCGAGCGGCACGCCCGCCTCGCGCTTGTCGGGCCGCACCGCCGACTTGGTGCCCTTGTTGGCCTTGCGCACGTCCGACGCCGTGGCCCATTTGCCCGCATCGTCGAGCTCCAGGTGCCGCTTGCGCAGCAGCTGCACTGCAAACTGGGCGTCGGTGGGCGCTCCAAACAGGATCCACCACACGGGCGAGAGCGCCTTGCGGTGCGTCGGAAAGTAGCTTTGCAGCGGCTGCCGGGCCAGAGGGAGCAGCAGGAGCGAGCAGCAGGGGCGAGCAACAGGGGCAAGCAGCAGCATCATCAGCATCCCATCGGCGCTCGGTCCAGGCTCGGACACGACGCGACCAGACCACGGCAACTCACCAGCAAACAGAAAAAGGTGATGCCGACGAGGAAGAGGAGCGACTTGAAGACGTAGTGGGCGGGCGCAAACGTGACGAAGACGGTGATGAGGCTGAGGAGGGCGACGGAGCGCTGCGATGCCTTGGGGTTGCGCCAGAGGATGAGGTTCTTGACCTTTTCGTGCCAGTCGGCCAGCAGGCCCAGCGCCTCCTGGCTCGGCGCGCCGTACGTCTGCGCCCAGCGCTTGTAGATGTTGAGGATGTCGAGGCGCGACTGCCGCCGCAGCTTCTCGGACAGCTTGTTGGCCGCCCGCCCGCGCGCCATCCGCTGCCGCACCTTGTCGTGCAGGTAGCTCTCCGACGGCGGAAAGTACTTGAAACGCAGCACGCCGTAGATGAGCGACAGCATAAAGGCCGAGGGGATCATGTCGCTGTACCACAGCACAAAGTAGACCATGGCGGCCGTCGCCGTCGTCTTGGGGTCCTCCCACCGGTACAGGCGCCGCACCTTGAAGCCGAGCTGCTCCCAGAACGGCGCAATCGTGTAGAGCCGCTCGACGTGGGAGCGGATGACGCCCTCCCGGTAGCCGCGGTCGACGCTGTAGTCGAGCTCCTCGGGCGCAATCTTTTCGACGAGGGCGAGGATGTAGGCGATGCAAAAGGCGATGCCGTCGACCTGCTCGTCGCGCGCATTGACGCGCACCTCGGACGCCGACGACGCCTTCTCCTCAAGCCCATCGCGCGACGCAGAGGGCACGATGAGGTTCCAGTCCTCGTCGTTGTCGTCGTCGTCGTCGCCGCCGCCATTGTGACCACCGCTGCGACCATTGCGGCCGTCGTGGCCGGCTTCGGCGTCCGAGGCGGGTCGGCTGCCGATGCGGAGGGACCGCCCGGGCAGCTTGCGCTTCTTGCGCTTTGGCTTCGACGACGAGCCCAGGTATTCTTCGTCGTCTCCCGTCTGTAGGCTCTGCGGCGTCGCTTGGCCCGAGGCCAGCGTCATCGAGCTCCTCTCACGCGACGGCAACAGGCGGCAGTCGTCCGAGGGCGTCGAGACCAGCTTGTCCGAGGCCTGGACCGCATGGCCCACCGGTGCCTCGTGCGCTCCGCTCCCGCCCGCCCCGTTGCCCTCGATGTCGCCCTTGAGCGTCTGAAGGCCCCGGTCGACCCGGGCCAGCAGCTTGGTCCGCTTCTTGGAGCCCGAGGCCTGCAGGACCTGGCCATCGTCGGGGCGGATACGGAAGTCTGACCACTGCGGCATGCGCTTGGCGCGCCTGGCCTCGGCGTCCGGCACCTTGACCTCGCGGGTGTGCTGCGCGATCGGACGGCCCAAAGGATATCAGAGTCGGCAGCTCGGATCAGCTCCACTTTCAACGGCCGACAGAGGCAGACGAACCCTCTTTCCACGGGGCAGGGCACACTCACGCGGGCGAAGCTGTTGAGGAAATTCTCCAGCTCGACCTCCTCGAGCTCGATGAGGGGCTTGCGGAGGGCCTGATTTGCGCCGCCGCTGGCCGAGTCGTGCTCGGAGAGGAGGTCGCCCATGCGGTTGCGCTGCTGCACGGCCAGCTCGCGGAGGGTGACGTCGTTGAGCGAGTGGCCCTGCTCGGCGGCGGCGCGGCGGATGAGGTCGTAGTGGGTGGCGTCGTCGAGCATGAGGTCCATCGAGTCGTCCGAGTGGTCGGACTCGAACGAGTAGCGACCCTCGAGGAAGGGCATCGTGGCGAGGGCGCGCTCGGCCAGCTCTTCGGTGTCTGGCTCGTGCGAGGGCCTGGCGCTCTCGGAGATGTCGGTGTCGTAGACGGCATCGCAGCTGCCCTCGCTGCCGCTGACCGAGGTGCGGTCGCCATTGTCCTCGTCGTGGCTGTGGCTGTGCGGGTGGCCGTGTTTGTGGCCATCGGCACGATGGGATCGGTGAGACGCGCTGCGAGGCAAGCCAAATTTCCTCTCCGGCGAGGCTCGGCGGCCATCGTCGGAATAGAGGTCGCCAGGAAAGTGACGCGTGGCCGGACTGCCGGTCCTGGCGTCGTTGTCATTGTCGTCGTCGCGGCCTCTTTTGTCGGGAGAGGATGGATGCCGTTTGGGGGTCGACGAGGCGCTCTTGAGCTTGCCCCTGCTGACCGACTCTCTGGCGTCGCGAAAGGCCTCCCTGACCGCTGCTGCCTTGAGGAAGCGCTCGTAGTCCTGCGACTCGACGTTGCCTTCGCCGTCGTCGGCGGCGGACGGGGCGGGATGCGCGGCTTGGGCGTCGTGCTTGGATCTGAGGTGGAGCTTGTTGAGGAGCTTGGTGCCGAGCGAGGTGCGGTGGGGGTCGTTGGCTGCGTGGGGGCCCCTGAGGGTCGAGTTGCCGGTGTGATCGCTGTAGGTATCGTCGATGGAGGCGGTGCGGGAGCGGAACGGAGACCTGTGCGGGCCTGTGGGCGAGGATGGCGGCGAGGAGACGGGCGAGGCGGCGTGCGACGACGAGGGGGGCGAGTAAGTCGAAGTGCCTGGGTATCGGGGTATCTTTTTGGCGTCGCTGCCGTCGATGGTGGTGGGCATGGTAGGGGCGGTGGTGGATCTGCTCGGTGATGGCTGCATCGTCGTTGGCGTGGTGCGGGTAGGAGGGAGATCTAGTGGTCGAGAGATATGTGTAAGATGAGAGCGGAGGAGATGTCGAGGAGGGAGATGCAACGGGCGTGGTGGCCCGTGCCGGTAGAGTGGTCGTCGCTGGGCTACTGATCGTGGTGGTGGTGGCAGTACGGGTGCTCAAGGCTGGGCATGCTTCCTCTGGAGCTTGGGGTGAGGGCCAAAGAGGGGGCCCTCTGGGCTGTGCTTGTGACGAGCGACGTCGGAGCGGAATGAAGGCGGATGGGGATGGGGATGGGGATGATCGGGCGAGGGCCTGGGCCTGGGCATTGTCCGGGGGAGGGACGAGGGTGCCGGAGCAAGACGCGGCAGGAGGGTTGACCGGAGGGTGGATGCGGAGGGTGCAGTAGTGGCTGTGGTGGTTGTGATGGTGCTTGACGGTTGAGAGGGAAGCAACGGCTTTACGTACGAAGGTGAGGAGGAGGAGGGGGAGGAGGAGGACGACGACGACGATGGATGGCGAGCCGAAGAGAGCAAGCAAGCCAGCCGGCAGGAGGCAGCCTGCCTGTCAGCCGCGTTTTGGCGGGTCGGTCTATGTATAGAAAGAAGCAAGCAGGCGGCCGTGGGCAGGCAGGCTCTCGATGCATGCACGCGTGCACCGTCAGGCGAGCAGCGGCTACCTCGGTAGGCCGTCTCGAGGCTGGGGCCGGCGGGTCGTCGTACGTACGTCGTTGGCGCTTGGTTTGGCTGCCGGCTGCGGGTGCAGAGAGAGAGAGAGGTACAGCAACGACGCGGCCCGCGCACGAGCGGGCTGTCGGTGCGGCGTTTGGGGCGGGCCTCTATATCTGTGTCCTGGGCCTCTTGGCTGCCTCTTGTCTCTCTCTGCCTGCCTCTCTGTCTCCCTCTTGGTTGAGCGTGAATCAAAGGCCGGGGCGACGACAAAAACCAACCTGCCTCCACATCCAACCAGCCAGCCAACCAGGCGGGTCCTCTTTTTCATCTCTCTCTCTCTCTCCCTCTCATTCCTCCGTCCCGCACCACCACCACTCCAACGACCGCCGACATGCCCCTCATCCTGCCGGAGTCGACCAACCTGCCCACCGTGGTCAACGACACCGCAGACGTATCCCACGACGCCCTCCGCGCCCTCAGCCCAGACACCATCGTCCACGAGATCAAGCGCCTCCAGGACAGCGTCGCACGACTCCGCGACTCCAACCATCAGATACAACAGTTCGTCACAAACGACCCCGACGCAGCCGACCTCAGCACCCACGACAGGCAGCAGCTCCATACCGCCTGCCACGACAACCTCGGCACAATGTCTGTAATGCACTCGGGGAAGCCACAGCCAGCCCGGCCGTCGTCCTGCCATTCTGACTTGCGGTTCCACCTTCCTTCCTTGTACTCTCCTATCCCCGGCCAACACAGATCCAAGCAGCAGGGACTCATCGAAAGGCTCGTCGGCGTCCTCTCGGAACAGCGCGGAGACCCACGCGCAGCAGCCCACTACGCGGCGCAGGCCCCCGCACAGCAAGCGGCTTCCACCCAGCCTGCCACCGACCCGCCGCAGACCGAGTCGCAGCCAGAAGCCCCAGCAGCATCAGGCGTCTACCTGTAGCACGATCACGATTCATTAGCACACATGACTTGCATCGCCCCCTTGCGACTGTGCGCCCCAATGACAGGGGAGAGGCGCTCCTCGACCACAGCTCAGATCCACTCTCCGCTCAGCGCCTCGACCTCGGTGTCCTTGGTCGACAGCTTGAGCTCCTCGAGCACCTCGTCTTCCGACAGCCGCTTGCCGTCCCGGTCCGCAATGTCCTTGAGCGCTGCAGGCATCCAGAAGCAGGTAGCAACCGGGCGGCAAACATATCTGTCAGTACCGGCGTTGGGGGGCACCGCACCGCACCGCACCGCGGCCACTGCTCGACGACGCCACGCACCTTTGGCCTGCTCGTCTCCCGCGCCCTGCAGGCCGTCCTTTTCCTGGTTCCTGCGCTTGATGATGAGCAGCTCCACGCCCTCGCGGTCGAGCAGCATCGGATCCTCGGGCCGCGCGTACCGGTTGCCGCCGCTGTCGAGGTCGCCGCCAAACGTCTGCTGCATCTCGTCGTCCGTCAGCTTGGCCCGCTGCTCCTTGGGCAGGCCGGCCGTGGGCGCGTCGGGCCCCGTCGGCGGCATCGTCGGGTTGCGCATCTGCAGCAGCACCGACGACGACGGGTGGATGCCAATCTCGCTCTGCACGTCGCCAAAGTCGTCGGCCGACGGGTGCGAGACGTGGTAGGTGAGGCGCACCTCGCGGTTCGACGGAGGGTCAGTCTGCTTGATGCTCAGCACGTAGTGCCCGCGTCCTGCAGGCCTCGCTGCCGGCTGCACGCGCTCGCCTGTGTCAACGAGCCAGGAGGGCAGTCGGAGTGAATGGTCAGCGATGCATCCTCGACTTCGACCTCTGACCGACCGACCGACAGACAGACGGAAGACCCACCGCGTGTCTTTGTCGAGTACCTCGACTCCTTCATACCATCGACGAGCTTGTCGAGATCGGTGCCGACCGAGCTGATGGTGGCCCAGGTGGCCTCGCTGTCGCGTCCGCCGATACCACGTGGTTCCTGGCCGTGCGAGAGGGCGAGCTCGACGTCGGGCATGCGCTTGCGTCCGAGCGCAATGAAGCGGAAGCCGGTCGGGTTGTGCGGCGCCCTCTTGTCCTTGTCGTCGTCGTCGTCGTTGCCGTCTTTTTCTTCCTTGGGAGCGGCGGGTGCCGTCTCTGACTCGCTCCTGCGCGGGACGAGGAGCATGAAGCTGTTCTGGACGCCATCGAGCGAGTCAATCGACGCGCCCTTGTCCTCGCCCATGGCCGCCTTGACTTTTGGCCGGTAGAAAAAGTAGATCCTGTCTCGTCGGGTCGGTGCGGTGGCGGCACGGTCAGCGGATTCGGGAAGCCAGGAGGATGCGGGGGGGCTAAACCCCCTCGCTCCATGGTGTCGGCCAGTCCAAGTCGGATGGCGGAGTGGAACTCGCAACTCACAGGCCCGTTTCTGCAATGTGCCAGCGCACCTCGTCGGCGTCGTTGCCCGCGTCCGACTTGCGCACCTCTACGTCGTCACCCTTGAGCTTGCGGTCGTCGTCTTGCTGTCGTTGGTCGAGGCCCTTGAGGTCGACTGCGACATTGTCGTCGCCGGCGTTGTCGTGCGACTTGCGCTGCTGCTTCTTTGCCGGTTCCTTTTCGTCGTGGTGGTCATCTTCGTCGCCGTCGTCGCCGTTGGCGTCTTGGTCGCGGTCCTGGTCTGCCTTTCGCTTTTCTCCCACTTCGACCTCGTCCCTCTGTCCCTCGTGCTGCTCCTGCTTGTGTTCCTCCTCGCTTTCGGACTGCTTCTTGTGTGCGGATTTAGGTGGCATGATGTTCGGCCTCGGGCGGATGGAAGACGAGGGTAGTTATTGTGGGGCGTGCGGTGCGCGGAGAGAGGGTGGGGGAGGTGGAGGTCGAGAGCAGAGAGGTGCCGAAGGCCCATCCTGCATGGCATTGACCGACCAACCTGGCTTGGCCTGCTCAGCTTGAGCCCAGCCTGAGGGAGGAGGCAGGGAGGCCGGCGAGCATGACTGAGCCGCCCATGATGCGTTGCCGCCGCCCGATCCCTGATGTGGAGGAAGCAGACAGGAGGCTAGGCTGACCCACGCCGCGTTGGGTCGTTGGAAGACGCGCCAAGGCAGCGCAGCATGACAGGCAGGCGGCAGCTAGGCTGGGCTGGACCCCAGGGTTCAGTCCAGGTCGACGGAAGCGGAACGGAGCCAGAGGCTACGCGCGCTAGACTGGCTGGCCGGCAGGCTGGCATGCATGCGATGCTCTGCCACGGCATGGCATGGCATGGCATGGGGCTGCCATGAGCGTACGAGTGGGAGCCGACTCGCGGCCACCCAGCATCGTCGCAAGCAGACACAGCAGGCAGCAGGTAGGTAGACATGCGCAGAAAGGAACGCTGAGGTCCTCGGACAGGCCCCCCGGGCGTGGTTGGGTCTCGATCGGGCCGCTCCGACGCCAGCATGCTGGCGTCGATGCGCTTGTCAGCAGCCTCACTCGCGCCCGGCCTGGTCGCGAGCGAGGGCAAGCACGTCGGCACGTCGCCGTCGACCCGGCGGCACCTCGTCGCGACTAGCCCGTCGCCGTTGCCGAACGAAGCGGCAAAGACCGGCGGACCCTTCCGGCCTCGTCTGGCGCTTGACGTAAGGCAGAGCAAGCAAGCCAGCAAAACGAAAGGCCGCCGCATCGTCCCCGCCTGTGTCCACGGATCGATCCGCGCTACGATGCGATGCTGCAAACAACCTTGCCGGTCGTCGGTGACAAGCGCAGCAGACACCGACCGCGCCCTGGTCCTAGCCTGCCGCTGCTCGACAAGCCGGCTCATCCACTTCGACCTCCACCGGCCTTTGTGTCTGTTCCAGCTCAACGTCGCCGAGGGGGACCGCCGCATGGGCATCATTCTTCGGTACTTACCTACCTAGCCTAAGCCAACGCAGGGCTCAGAGAAAGGGACCTCGCCGACCGATGTCGAGCCCGCAGCGGAAGGTTTCGCTTCGGTCGATCGCCGGGTTCGCTGTGCGGTTCTCGCTCTTCGCCCCGCCCGGCCCAGGACAAGCTTTGATGTAGTGAGCCTTCGGCCCTACCGAGCCGCATGGAAACGAACGACGCCGCGCGTTGCTGCCGCTATGTACGGTCCTCGGCGGGCTGGTCCGATGGTGGCATCGTCGTCGTGCCGCCGTGACTTGGCCGCCAGCCGGCCTGCTCGCTGTCTCAATCAACGGCATCCTCACTCAGCCGGACCCTTGCTTTCTCGCCACCTTCGCCGGTCCCGGTCGCTACGGTATGGTACTGCTATAGGACCACGCAGGCAGGCAGAATCCCGCGCAGAAACGCACGCACACGCGGCTCCTCCGCACGTTTGAGCTGACTCGCCCGTCGCCAGCAGCCTGCCTAGCCTGTGCGTTTGCGACGGCGAAGCGTGTAGTCACGACGCCGCTTGGCGATCGAAGCGTCGACATCCGGCCCGACCCGACCTTGCGCTGCGTCGGGTTGCGTTGCGTTGCTCACTCGCCCGTTCGCTGGCTTCGACGCATCACCGTGCCGCTCCTTGGCCGCAAACGGCACCAGCGCGTCTGGTCATCGACTCTCCCACCACCTCCAGATCGCTGCGCTCGCACTGGGCCCGGGGGTCCTGCGCTGCCTCATCGCGCAACGAAGGTCTCTCTCTCTCTGATCTTGCTTGGCTTCTGCTGCTGACAGCTAGTCCAGACAGCATGCCCTAGGCTGTCTCCCGGGATGTAAGCCGCTGCCGTGCCGTTTGTCTGCAGACGGGCTCCACAGAGAGCACCATCGACCTTGGCCCAGATCGGCCCTTCACAGGCGCGCAGAGCAACAGCCAAGGCGGCCTTCGCAGCCCCCGCCTCCCCTCATCATCCCCGTCAACGGATCGCCGCATCGAAGCCCGCATCGTGCGGATCATCTTCGACAGGACCACCCTCTCGGATCCCTCGATAGCCCGCCACTGGGAAACGACGCTGTGCGTGCGGGACAGGCAGCCCTCACCGCCACTGCGTCGCCCGGTGCCAGCCCTCGAGGCAGCGTTGATGAGAAGCTGACACGTACATAAACCTCGAAGAGGTCGCCGTCCTCATCAATGGAGGCCCCTCCTCATCCCAATCACTCCCTTCTCGCCTCGTCGCCTACTCTCCCTCCAGCTGCCCTGTCCAGCTCCCTTCCCGTACCGGCCTCTCGACTTCCCGGCGCCTCTCCCTTCCTCCAGCCTCCAGCCTCCAGCCTCCATCCTCCGACTGCCAAACCACCGCAATGCAGCTGACCGTCTCCCACGTCGTGGCGCTCGCCGTCTCGGCCCTGTCGATGGGCACCTCTGGCATCTTTGCCGCGCCCGCCTCGCAGGGCAGCAAGGGCGGCATTCCGTACGTCAACAAGCACGACACGGTGCCCGCCTCGCAGCTCTCGTCGGCCGCCGACCCCAACACGGCCAACAAGAATGTCTCGTCGGGCTACCAGCCCCAGTCGGGCGGCTTCACAAAGAGCCCCACGTACGCCACCTTTTCGGCGTTTGACCAGGCGTCGATTGAGCTGGCGACGCACCAGGAGTACATCGAGCTCGACCTGTTCAACTACGGCCTGGCCAAGTTCAGCGACGCCGAGTGGGACCAGTACGGCATCGACGCCGAGAACCGCCACCTGATCCGCCAGATGGCGCAGCAGGAGATTGGCCACGCCACGGTGCTGTCCAACATGCTGGGCAAGACGGCGCCCAAGGCGTGCACCTACAAGTACGACTTCCAGGACGTGCCCGGCTTCATCGACTTTTGCCAGAAGCTGACAAAGTGGGGCGAGTCGGGCGTCTACGGCTTCCTCAACCTGCTCGACAACCACGCCGTCGGCCAGATCCTGCTCCAGTCGATCACCACCGAGGCGCGCCAGCAGTTCATCTTCCGCCAGTTTGAGGGGCTCTTCCCGATGCCCGAGTGGTTCGAGACGGGCATCCCGCAGAGCTGGGCCTGGACGCTGCTGCAAAAGTGGATCGTGTCGTGCCCCGACGACAACGTGCCCATCGCCTGGGAAATCTACCCGGAGCTGCGCATCGACAACAACCCGGACGCCATCGCCGCCGGACAGGCCGCCGGGGGCGCCAGCATCTCGAACAACGTCACCGCCCTGAGCTACGAGGGCAAGGAGGTGCTCTTTTCGTGGGACTCTCCCGGCAAGACCGAGGGCCCCTACAAGCAGAAGACGGTGACCCACACTTCGGGCTACCCCAAGTACGCCGCCTTTGTCTCGCAGTATGTGAGTATCGCGAGCGCGCGCGCGCGCGCGTGCACGTCGGCGCCATGGCCGTCGTCACGGGTGGGTTTCGCTGCGCAACATCTGGGGCTGACTCGGCCCGCTTGCCTCCATTTTTTTACTTGCCTTTCTCCTGGACAGAACGTCACCTACTCGCCCCTGTACGACATTGACAGCGACAAGCGCACCGCCAAGGCGCGCCAGCCGGGTGGACAGGTGCTCAGCGTCGGCCCGGAGATTATCAACAGTGAGTTGCGTGGCCACGGCTGCTCGGTCGCGAGAGATGCGGGCAGCAGCAAGGCAGAACGTGAACCGACCGACTGACCATGAGCCTCGGCATGCCCCTTTTCTTCACTGCCCAGGCACGTCGTTCATTGCCCTGACCGACTCGCAGACGCACTACACGCCTGCCAACCTGTCGCTCATCAACCAGCACGTCGTCGCTGGCCCTGCCGTCTACCAGTCGGGCTAAGCGTCGTCGATGCTGTCGCCCTTCTGCTCCTTGCTGCCATCATCTGGACAATCGGTGACCGGTGCGCGTCGTCGTCGTCGTCGTCGTCGTCGTTCTCCCCTTTCTCCCTTCTTGTAGCCTCTCTTGTCTCGCCCGCGTTGCTCCTTGGCCAGCGCTCGCCGAGTCTCGGTTCGAGGCTCGCGCTTGAGCCTGGTCGTTATGCCCTTTCAACCATGACCATGCAACGCAGATTGTCGCTGGGCTGTTGCTTTTCGTTTCGCCGTATGCTGTTGGGTTGCCAGAGGGGGTAATCGGTACGCGTCGATGGTGGTGGTGGTGGTGGTGGTGATGCGTGCAGCAGGCGCGGCGGAGGCGAGGGCTGCGAGGCGAGGAATCCCGAGGCGATGACGCAGTGGCGCACGGACGGGGGGACGATGTGTGGAGAAGGGAAATGCGCAGGCCCAGGGCGGGCGGAGCAGGCCACACGGGGCGGGGCAGGCAAGCAGGCGGCGGCGAAAAAGGGGGCAGCAGCCTAAATCATGGGCCCCGTGGCTGCCCCAAGCAGCGGATGTCGAGCCGGCCTAGCAAGCCAGCCCCGCCATCCTCATTGACCACCACCACCAGCGCCGCCGCCGCCATCCATCTTGCCAGCCATCCAGCCCGCCTACCATCCTTGCGTCACACTCTCCCTTCCACGATCTCCTCGTCGCCGTCTCCCGCATCCGCATCCCGCCGCAACAGCACCGTCACGCTCCACCTTGGCAACCTCCCCGCTCCCTTCCTAGCTCCTATCTCCGTACACCTGCCGCATCGTCCACTCGTTTCCATCCCTCGCGCCGGCCACTTCCCGATACACCCTCAGCATGTCCGCAGATCCTCCGCAGCCCCTGCCCGCCCAGGCCGACCCGGCCGCCAAGCAGAAAAAGAACCCCATCGGCAGCTGGTTTGTCAAGAAGTTTGGCAGGAGGAACAGCGAGGCCGGCGGTGCGAACCCACACCCGCCGACTTCGCCAAAGCTCAAAGAACCTCGCAGCCGCAGGACCAGCAACTTTGCTCCCGCCAACAACAACAGCTCCGGCCTCAGCGCCAACCCCAACGGCGGTGGGCCCCAGCGCACCGTCGATGGCCTCCCTTCGTTTGCCGGCGACAGCGGACAAGGCCTCGCCAGTACCCTCGTCGTCCCCACGTCTCCATCGGCCACTAATGTCGCCACTCCACCACCCCAGCTCGCCAGCTTGCCGCAACAGGAGCCGCTGGGCGCCCTCGGCTTCAACCCAAACGACTCAAATGCCACCGCACCGCTCGCCCACGGCCAGACGCAGCCTGCCCCGGCCATCAACACCCAGCCGCTCTCGCTCCAGGTCGACCCGTCCTTGCACAGCGTGTCGTCGCCCGTCTCGGACATCATGACGCCAAGGGCCAACACCAACGCCCTCCACGCCCATTCCCAACACGGCTCCTCGACCGACGCCCCCGCCTCTTCCGCGGTGGCCGATGCAGGGACACACCTGGTCCCCGCCGCGTCGCAGCAGGAAAGCCTCCGATCGAGCTCCGACTCGGACCAGAGCAGCCGCGACGGCCTCGGACGCGACTCGATCGGAAACCGCACCATGGACACGGGCAAGAGCCGCGCCAGCACCAAGCCCACCACCCTCATGAGCCTCGATACCCGCGAAGCCCAGGTGTTGCGTGAGTCGCCCCTCTGTCTGTCTGCCAGACTCGCGCCCGTTGAGCTAGCCTTTCAAAGCTGACCTTCTCCTATCGTACATGGTCCTCGCACGAAGCCACGACGCACATCGCCCAGGCCAGGCACGGCGAGAGCGGAAGCGCTGCTCCGGGCACCAACGGCACGGCGGGCGCAGCCACAGCGGTACAGTTTGCCTCGCCCCCGCTCGCCAGGACCGGCAGCGGCACTCGGCCCAATGGCGCCGTTTCGGACGAACACGGGCCCTACGTCAACATCCCCTCGCACTCGCGCCACCACCCTTCCAACAACCCTTCGCCATTCGCCATGCCTCCGGACAATGCGAGCGTGCTGACCCTCGCCTCGTCGACGGCGGCGCACAGCTTCGCCGGCGCGGCCAGCAGCCGCAGCCGACGGGCCGACCGGCCTATGCCGACCCACGCCGTGGGCGGCCGCCCGCAGCATCGGCGGCACGCCTCAGTGGGCGAC